GATAGGAATTTATGCGGTATGTACATATGTGTGCATGTGTATCATATCATATTATATTACAGTAAGTACTTAATTTTTACAGTGTCTGATGTGAAAGTGACCAACCGAAAGAAGGAGGTAGATTGAGGTAAAATATTGACTAGTAGATCGACTAAAAAGAAAAATCGTGTAACATTTTGCAAAGCTCGCAATAGTTATTGAGTAATAAACAAAAACGTCTGAAAGCTTGACAAGCGGTAGGCCGGACTTGGTAGGCATGGAAAATGGTTTACTTGTGTATAAGTATCTCTTATGATTCGATACGTATAGGGGCGAGGGGTCCGTTCGGCGATCACTTTTACATCAGATATCTTATATAACATGTGTTTTTTAAGGAAATTTTATTAGTATTTTTAGAATTTAATATTTTTATAAGATTTAGATGAAAAAAAGTGACTCACTTCTATCGGTTTAATTAAAAAGGCAATGAATTGTAGTATACACAAAATAGCAGGGAAGATATCCGAACAGATCTTCAATGCTAGCTTAAAATTATACTCGGCAATAAACATTAACATAGACTAAAAGAAAACAGTTATAGAAAATATATGAAATAATTATAGCTTCGAAATATTTTTTTGGTCAGATCAACGCGTACCTGATAAACAACGAAGGCGACAAATATTCCTAATGTAAACACGGCCCGTGCATACCGAAATTTATTTTGATAAGGCCACAAACCCCATACCAATAAAAGAATTCGATTAACATTATAGTATCGACTCTTAAGCACAGTCATCTTTCCATGAATGTCAAATCGTATATGCGCTCGATTACAACGAGAACCTTTTTCTCCCCTCTTTGTAGTGCTAGATATAGTCGTAGCGTGACTGATGCGAATAATAGTAATAATAATAATTGCGAAATTATCCAAAGTTACGTGTAAAGCACAAGGCAAGTCTCGATCGATTATCTATTCTCTCTATATCTTTTTCAGTATTCATGTGAGAAAGGAAATTAATTTATATTAACCAAACACGCAACAGCATAATAATTTTTTAGGAAAAATAAAAATAAAATTTATGAGACATGTTCCAAGTTAAAACAAACAACGTTAGATACCATCATTCAAGTTTGAACTATTGTATACTGTGTTATTCTATTTTATTAATATTTTGGTTAGTGTAGAAAAGTGTAAAATTATAGATAAAAATCTTCAAATAGAGATGTACTAATAAATTAAAGATAGTTTAATGATTACATTTTTAATTATTATAGATTTTCTAATTAAAAATATTTTGCAATTTGTAAGATAAACAAATAATATTTTACGAGTAAATGACATTAACCACTCCTTAATGCGCAATATAATTTTACAAATAAAAAGAATTGAACATTTTACTGGCGAAACAGAATATCGATAAAGAACAAATCTAGATATATTTATATGTAGAAGACATAGAAAGAAATTATGCTTAGTGATATCATAAAAAGAATTCGCTAGAATTTATTAAGTGCATAATCCTTTAAATATCAAGTAAAAGAAACGACATATAATGAAATAAAATATTATTTATTGATGAATAAATAGCAAATAATATTATCTTATTTAGCTAAATTAAATATTTCTACTTTAGTCTACAGGGAAAAATTTCTCCATGTGTATATTACTACGAATAGCTACGTTTTCTGCGTTAGTTTATGAAACTACTGTATGGAATAAATTACCATCATAAAGGAAATTGCTGTGCTCATGACCTATAACAAATAATCTAATGAAACTGATCACGTGTAGAAGGACGCTATCACATTCTCTATTTTGCGCTATCCTACCGAGGTAAAGCTTTCCATTACTGAAACGTATAGACCGCCAAGATTCGGCACAACACTTTTCGAGGAGATTTGCATGACAAATAAGAACAATTTCTGAACTTTTACAGGCGTCTTGTACCACAGAGACATATATCTAAAAAAAATTTATATTATTTGTTAACAATAAAAAATATATAAAACATATTTTTTTTATATTTAATTAAAAATTCAGAAAAATATAATGGACAAACATATATTACATGTGTTGTACAAAGAGTTGCACTTTGATATATTGGAAAATTATAACTACTGTATATTTAAAAGTTTTATTGACAAATAATTAAAAAAAACTGAAATTATTAATTTTCAACTATTCATGTAATTTATTCGACAGATGTAAATAATTTTGATTTCTTTTTTTACAAGAAGTTAGATAAAAATTGCAACATTACGGTCGTACGTACAAAAAATTAATTTATAATAATTTTAGACAAAAATATATACAGATTTTATATATTTGTGCATAGGTTTTTTACGTTAACGTACAGATTGTTACTCACGTTGTGATAAATAATTCGTCAGCATAGTTTACCATCAATTGTCCCAGAAAAGTAGTTCCAAAAAGATAAAGTTCGTGTCCAATAATATAACACGTTGCTATCATAAATTCCATGAAATCATCCATGCTTATTATTGCAAACAGAAGCTATTAATAATAAACTGAATTAAGTTATTATTATATTGTAAGTACATTATTATATGTGCATACGCGTACTATCATATTTACATATATCATAGTGCTATAAAAAAACAATTAACTTATGTAATATTGTACACCAATTATAAAATACATTTTGCAAAAGAGAAACAATTACTTACTCTGTATAAATTTAAAACAAAAGAACACATGCCTACCACTACTATAAGAAGAAAAGATAGTGTAAAACTTGTTGTCAACAATTTAAAAAGCCTTGAAAACAATAAATCGGACAATGAGACTTTTATTATAAAATAAAATGTGACAAACTACTGACGTAGTCAGTTTTATCACATTAAGTTTTAAATACCTACTTTTGTGCATTTTTATGGAGTTCTACTGTTTTAATTATTCTTTTGATGACTTCGTTTTTCTTGTTAAAGCACGTTATTACTTTCTTGTCTACAGAATGTTGTATTCGATAGCTGATGACATTAAATTTTCGTTTAATCTCGCCAGCAGTACGATTATTTATTTTCTTATTGTATGTCATTCTAAGAAAATATTATTAAAACTTTTACACATTCTTTACCATTTCTTACCTGCAAATTTTAAATATTGCGCAGCAGTGTAAAGCACTCAGTACAAATATCAAACTGATGGATATTGTCGACGAAATACCAATATTGTAACTAACACTATTATACAAGATGATATAATAAAATAGTTTTCCTTCGTTTATATGGTATTCACTCAGGAGTAGTAAATAATGCGCACGTGATTCATTTAATGGCCGCAAAAAATCGAGGATATCTGGTGTCAGTTGTATCATTAATAATGTACATGCCATACATATTTGCAGCACTAAATTATATGAAATATACTATACATTATAACATTTTTTTCTATTTAAAGTAAAACATTTATAATATATTAAGCGAGATTGGAGAACATTATTCATTGTTAAAGAATATATTATACCACAAATACATATAACTGAATAATACAATACGTTCAGTTTCTACACTATACTATTATACTATACTAACATTCTCTATATATAAAACTAAATGTTATTACATGTTACCGCAACTGTAATGTTTTTTCCTTGGTAAACGTAATGTTCTACGATTTTAATTTCCTGCGGATCTGTTAACATCTGCTGATTATTAATAATTTCTTGTAGTATCTGTTTTAGCTGTATTAAGTGAATTTTAAATTACGTCTCAAAAATAAATATAAAAATTGGCTTTATTAATAAAAATTTCCATTCAACTTACTTTCTTAGTATTGAATAAAAATATATTGAAGTTTATAACATATATCAAACACAAACAAGAATCCGACAAAATCTTAACAACAACGTTTATACGTAAGTCGGCTGTAACAAATTGTGCTAGCTAGAAAAACACATGTCGCTATGTTAAATTGTGCATTTAACGATATAACTAATTCAGTTATTCATGTTTATTATTGTTTATACAAAATATTTAATTTTATAACACTATTGCTTTTTGTATTTTCGTTATTGATACTTTTATTTGCGTAATCTTTGTAAGTTAACGATGTATTTCGATTAATAAACTCATGTATCATATTAACAAAAACTTAACTTTGTATTAAAAACGAAAATCTAGAAGTATAAACTAGTTAATAAAATAATTGATCAGTTAAAAATATATTACACTTTTAGGCTGGTAGAACGGATTGAATTGAATAGAAAAGTCTTTCCGTTTTGCGAGTTTCAAAAAGAAAATATTAATTAATAAAGATACGTGAAGAAGAATGCATCTATGCGATTCGGCAGAAATAGACAGCCTAGCATACTATTGGTTGTCGCTAAGCGCAAGCTCCTCCCAGTGCCATTGCGCGCATAGCAACTGCAATCAGCGCGCGACACTGGGTTGTCTCTTCCTCGCTACGTCCTTTCATTCGTCAGTGAATTGCGTGCATGCACGCTTATTCGCAGATCTTTATTAATTAATTTATTATTTAAATTATTGAAAAAATGCGAAATAGCAGAGAACTTTTCTACTCAGTTTAATCATCTTTTCTATCTAAGAAAAGGAGTACAGTAATTACCAAACACCCTATATGTATGTATACATATACACTTTTAAAACAACATTATGTAAGAGTTAATAGATAATAAGAAATCGAACATTTTTTCACATCAAAAGTGGCAACTTGTATCTGGTAATGTCGTTTTGCTTACATTGTAATACAGTTATACGAGAAATATACAGAGTGTTACAGATAAGGTGTACGTCCGCTCGCATACAGGTAGAGCGGGTTAACTGAAAAGGAAAGTTGTGTACCATTTTGTAAAATTCGCAATAGTTTTCGAGTGATAAATAAAAACATCTGGGCGAATGAAAAGCAGTGGGCCGGACTCGGCAAGCAAGTTACACGCCTTATTTGTTCAGTCTCGTAGCAACGGTGGACGTTCGATAGCGGAAGGTGGAGCGAAAAAAAGTTGTCACGCGCCGGAAAAAAGTTGTCACGCAGTGAGCGGTGAGCTTCAGATGATACTCACTGTTCGTTCCTCACCGTTACAAGACTAAACAAATAAGCCATTTAATATCTGCCGAGTCCGGCCTACCGCTTTCCTCGCGCCTATTAGCTCAGACGTTTTAATTAATTACTTGATACCTATTAGGAATTTTACAAAATGGTGCATAACTTTTCTTTTCAGTTTAACCCGCTCTACTTGTATACGAGCGGATGGACACCTTATCCGTAACAACCTGTACATGTTTTTAAAATAAATGTCAAAACTATTAAATTTGCAATATTATGATAAATGCTTGAAATTTTGTTTGACAAACTGCATCGAATTTTGCATGTAATTTGACGTAGTATAAAAGTTTGAGAAACTAAACATTTATTATAATGTGTATAAGAGTATGACATATCAGATAGTTTTGTTTCTCTCATTTTATATTGATTAGTAAAAAAATTGAATAAAATTTAATATCAATACAATATTTTTACTTTTCCCCTTATTTTTAACATAAAAGTAATATACAACTTATTGCATATCTAAAAGCTTAAAATCTGTCCTATTCGAAAGCACACATCTTAATACAACTTTATTGCAATATAGCAGAAGATTTTCCAGACATAAATTACCACTTAACAAATGTTTGATTTGTCACCCTTTATTAATCCATATAAATTATTACTATTATTTCTATATGTATATGTATATATAATTTATACGGGATGTTTACCATAAAAGTAACCAACCGAAAGATGGAGTCAGATCGCTGCGTGTCGCTTGTCGCACGCTACTTGTCCGTCGCATATTAAATTGTATGTACAGAGGAATTCTTAATTTTATTATTAAGGCTATGTACAAACATTTTATCTGCCAAGTCCGGCCTATCGTTTTTCGTGCATTTATTTGCACGAACGTTTTTGTTTATTACTTGGTAACTATTGCGAATTTTGCAAAATGACTTTCCTCTTCAGTTTAACCCAATCTACCTCCATGTTTCGGTTGGTCACTTTTACGTGATACGCTGTATAAAAGAAAGAGGAACTTATTTTGATATAAGTGTATAGTTTTCTGAGAGCAACTCTTTTTTCAAGGCTCCTTAGAACAATGTTTAAAGTTTACACGTATGTTTTAAAATGGTTAACAAGTTCCATTGTAGTATCCTTACTAGATAAATGTAATAGAGAAAATTTAGAATTACCTGAATAATCACTGCAGAAATGAGTAATATATAGAAGCATACTGCACGAAAACGCTCAAATTTCGTTTTTTCGAAAGGCCACAAACCATAAAACCTCAGAAGATCTTGATTTAACTTGAAGTGACCGTCAAATATGTTCATTCTCTTGCGAAAGTCGAGATGCGAATGGAGAGCGGATTTGTAAGAGCAGATTTCAGACAGCAGATTTTAGAGAAACGGATTTTATTTCGTGTATTTTTTCCGCCGTACTGATTTCTTTAATACACAGGCCAATTTTTTCTTGGTTCTTCGCGACGCGTGATAGACAGTGGAAGATACAACATCGAGGAGTGAGTGACAGTTGCAGCAATTTAAGTATTCTCCATACTTACATGATGGGAAAAAAAAAGGAAAATCGAGCTTTTCTATTGGCTATCACTGATATAGCGAGATATCAACAATGCGAAGGAAACATGAGTCATGTAAATGTTCGGTAGAAAAAAATCTCTTCTTGCTAGAAATTTTTCATAAGCAATTATGTACCCCGTTCTGTTCTGAGTTGGCGCAAGCGCATTCGCATAGCATTACCGCCGCAACGCCAAAGAAATTCATTCCTGCGTTCAGCCGTTCAACAGAATTCTCTTTTCCCCATAAAATAACATTGGCAATATATTACATATCTTTTACTGAACTGCGATAAATTGTCAAGGATTCATTACGTAATTATGAAATATATCATTGACAATATTTCATTCTACCATTTGGAATTTTTACGAGTGTAAATGCGAGTTAAAATAATTGTGAGAAGAAACGAGACAAAATTGGACACATACGGGTGCGTATAAGTCTAGAAATAATTTGTGAGGTACACATTGAATCACAAGATCTTTTAATAATTATATTTTTATTAACTTATTGACACAGAGAGAACGAATCAGTTCTAGTCTTGATTGGGATATATTTTCTTCATAGCTCACAAGCGCTGTTTTCACATGTCTACTTTGTTTTTGACATCTGCTTTGTTATTAAATTATTTTCGTTACTTCTTTATCGCAAAGTTTTAATATTATTGAATTTTTCACTTAATTAACTCACTTAATTTAATTAAAATATGTTTTATTTTCTGGATTTATTCAAGTAGAACAGAATTAAAATGCTAATTAAGACAATCAATTCTATTTATTTTTAATAATCGTAATAATCGAAATAAAATATTGTGTATCTGAATATTTGTGTCGGTGTTATTTTTTCTCTCACATATATTCACATACATTTGATTGTTATGTTTTCGTTATCTTATAGAATAAAATATCGTAAAACAAACTAACTATCTTATACATTACAATAATTAGTGTTTCTTTCCATGTGCAAATGATTTACTTTGTATTTTTATCAGCTACATATAATTTATAATCGGCAATTCACGCGTGTTGTCCATTTTCCGTTATAGCAGAGTATAAATTATCGTAAAATAAGACATTGACATGCTTATGAGCTGTAAAACATATTTGTTAAATGCTTTTCATTAATAAAAATTTGTGATTCTTTTATATACAATGTTATCTCTCTCTACCTTAGAAAAACCTTCGATAGAAGCCAAAATTAAGTGGCCGACATTTATAATATATGGCGTTGTAGTACTTTGCATTATAAATAATAGTAATTTCTGGACCTTCACTGGAGTCTTATACCATTGTACATTATATCTATTAATAAAATGTTATTTTACATAGTTTTTCAAAATTTAATCTGAAGAATGTTTAATTTATAGTTGGCAATAATGAGAATGATTATGTAATCGCAATAAATACTCACGTAGTATAAAAGATTTTGTTATTACAATCCGTAAGTTTTTGCCCATAGTAATTACCCAAAAACATAAATATAAAATGAAAGCCAAGGAATAATATTGATGCGATAAACTCGTACATATTTCGCAAAATTATTGCTCTAAGCAGCTGAAAATCGTGTGTGTGTATATATAAATTCATAGCTTGATTATTTGTTTAAAAAAAGAAATTTAGAAAAAGTAACTTACTCGAAATAAATTGAAACTTGCAGATGCAACGCCGACTACAACTAAGAAGAAAAAATATGGCATAAAACTGTTTGCCAGAAATTCACTGCATCTTCAATAATAAAAGATCAAGATAAAAGAATCAAGATAAAAAGAAAATATTGAATGTTGAGTGCATCCGTATATAGTTTTAAATAGGAAATCAATATATTATAAATATTCCGATTTTTGCAAAAAATGCATTACACATATAAAGATACCGACTCGAGGGCTTTTCGGTGTATATCCACTGCAGCGATTATGTCTCGATGAGCGACGCGATCTGTTTGCGCAGAATTACTCGACATATATTTGTCAATTGAACGTTCGATACGATAGCTGTAAATATTTAATTGTTTTCTTATTTGTCAGTTTGATATTAATACTATTATATATATTGTATATTTCTTCTTAGCAATGTTGCCATAATTATGGAACAGTGAAAAAATATAATAATATAAATACAATAATATTAAAAAAAGTTTTGCTACATCAATTTCATTATAAATACACATGTATAAAAATTATATAAATAACTTGCAAGAAAAAAATGTTACCATTCATTGTCAAATATATCAATACTTTGACATTAAGCATATTATTACGAGTATGTTTAGAAAACAAGCTGTGTACTTTAAAAGCGAAATCAATAAAAATACTGCTCAAATTATTCAATAATCTCTTTTTAAATGAAAATTTTAACGTATATTATTTGGATTCCAAAGTTAGTGTGCAAAATGTTATTATTTTATATTTATTATTAAATACATATATTAAATGTTAAGCCTCACCTGGCAATTTTTAACAATCCGCAAATATGTTCGAGGTATACCATTTCTAACGTACATGTGGCCATAAATACAAAGCAACCGAAAAACAAGCAAATCATCCAATGGGATATAATTGGATAAAAGTACGTTGTTTTGTCGACGAAATATTCTATCGAAGCGTGGAGCTTGTACGGACGAGTTTCGTTAATCGGAACAATTAAATCAAGAATAACCGGTAACAGTTCAGTGAGTGCATACAGAATAAGACTTATGATGATACCAACTAGAATTATGTCAAAATATAAAAAATTCTTTGTACTGAATTCAATACTGAATAGTTATTTTTAATTCGTGTAATATAGTTTATTAAGCAAATCATTTATAATAGCAGGTTTTAGACACAAATGAAAGGAATAGCTAATGAGGACAATAACGAGTACGCTGCTAACTAAAAATCTTTCAGAAATAAAGTATTTTACGCTTGTGTTGTGTCTTATGGAAGGCAGAGTGACTAGTAGCTATTGATAATTCACTAAATTATAATATACTAAAAGAAGATTTGCATGGAAGATTTGACATGTTGCTGGTTGGCTATGTGCTCTTTTTTTATAATTCTCATACATGATACTAGTATCGTGCATAGTTCTCCGGAGGATGAATGTTGTCGCATTATGTTACGCTCCGTTTCATCTTTCAAAAGACTCCAACTATTATGCATATTTTCCCAAATTTGTTTCACCTGTGGTCGAATTATTTCAGATAGCTTCTGAAGGTTGAGCGAAAAGAAATGATGGGATATAGTGGCTAACTTACACCATTGCGATTAACACAAAATGAGTAGTATTGTAGGATATATAAGCAAGCTGGTACGGTGTACGAGAGTACCATAATACAGAGATCCAGGGTGAATTGTGACGTGAGAAACGATGATAACTGAAAGTGATGAAGACATCAGAAACGGTATGCCATGATGTAGTTGCACACTCTTTTTTAATATATATATAAATCTACGGTACCAGCGTATTTAGTTTAAATGTTTTTGTACGAGACGCTAGCGTAAAAGACTAAATTGTACAAAATTAAACGGTAATACGTACTCGTATAATACATAATATCTAGAAAAGAATGTTACTACCTGAAAAAACATGAAAGATCCCATTATAGTAAAATGGAAGATATGACTAATTATCGTAAATTTTGAGTGTTGATATGGCCACAGACTGACCGCTGAGAGAAATATTCGATTTAATCTGTAATAATGATTCTCGGCGAAGTCTGTCCCCTCGTGATTCGAAAACATGTTAAAAAACGATGTCGAGACACCGTATGGTGTACGTTTTCCGTTAGAATGATACAATCGTATTCTACCCTCGCCGGATGTTTTTATAAAATATTGTCATCAGCGTTTGTGGTACCGCCCCATGTTAGGGGACGAGCATCGATCGCTCGCGTTTTTACGAAGGAAAAGACAGGAAATTGAATTATCAAAATTGCACGTTACGTTTGTCCGATGTAACTTTCCCAAGGTAAGGGTGAAATAACATCCCCTTCTTTTTCTCACGTTGGCGCAGGCGCACTATGGGTTTCCAGAAAGTTTTTCACGCAACACCCTCATAGTCACTCGAGACGTTGTGAACTTCGCGCTACGAATTGGTTCTGTTACGCGAGTGTTTTCCATGATGTGCGATACAGAGATTCATACTTATTGCTGTTTCACTTATTGTTATTAAAATATTAATATGCAAAAATATGCAATCTCACGGAGTGTATACGTGAGTGTAAAACTTATAAAAATGTGTACATAGTATATCGAGAAAATAATCAATCCAACTAACACTAAGAAGATGTAGCGGTGTTAAAGGTTTTTTTCTTTGCGATAAGTAAATTATTGTTGCGATAATATTCAATCAGTAAAGTACTATTCGATCTTATATGAATTTTAATTATTATGAATGTGGACCATAAAACCACATACAAACCACACGTCACAAGCAATAAATTTAATGAGAGTTTGAAATGGTTAGATAAATACTGATAATTTAAGAATTGAGATAAAATTAAGAAAATGTATCAAATAATGTAACGAGTTAATGATGATAAGTGATGCTTGATACTTTGTTTATTTTTCAGTTTGTGCAAAATAAAATTATAATAAATCCATATATTTAAATGTATATTTATACAAATAATTAGTAAATACATTTTTCGTTAATGTATTTCTGAAATAAAAAAGAAAACATATTTTACATATTGGAATCACGAACTTTTCAAGCATATTTTTATTATTAAATTCAGATATGTATATGTATATGTATAATGTCTGATTCAGTTAATAATTGAAATTCCAAAATAATATAACAAAAGATACAAAAACTTCAATAAAATTCTCAGGTTTATTTCCAAATTTACTTATTTTTTTAAACAATGGTTTTTGTAGATCAAAACTAAAAACATTTGAATTTTGAACACTAAAGTATTCCATAATTTCGATAATGTGTTTGATCCCTTTTCATTGTTAATATTTCATTTTATTCGTTGTATTAATATTTTGCTCCATGTGATGTGACGTTATAGCAAACTTTTTAATTTGTTGAGTAATATTTTTTCGTAAAAGTTGGAAATATTGTGGTACATACCCAATGGCTCGTTAATAGAATATCAGATCCTTCAAGAATCTTGTGTAATTATCTACGATGGGCTACTAAATGCTGAGTCGCACCCTGTGTGGTCATCGTGTGGAGTAAATCATCGTGAAGTAAGATAGTGACATACTCATTAACTAGAATATATATCTATTTATGTTCTCAAAGTAATTTTAAATAAACAATAAACTATATATGCAGTCAAAATAGGGAACACTTTTTATAAGCTGAAAATTAGCCATTTTTAAGTTCAGTCACTAAACTCGGCGAAAAATGATCGTAGATAAAGTGAAAAAACGATTTAAAGTTTCTACTTTAATAATGCTATCGATAGTTTTCTAATCTTTCTCATCTTCACTGTTCGCATCTTCTATGTTTTAAAAAAGAACACAATGTTTTGTCCCTTGAAATTACGTATATTTGACGCTCCAAAGCTCGATAAAAAAATGTTTCTTGAAAAATATGAGTTAAAAATGCATTATTTACCAAACGCTTTTTAAAAATTTATCTATAATTCTTTCTGACCAAGTTACATGACTTTGGAGCCAACCATATACTTTCTTGAAAAATAATGTTTACTGCCAGCATTGGCTTTACATAGAGGTTGCTGGTCAATAGGTATTTGCAACGTACACGTGCGTGTGTGTATATGTGTGTGCGTGTGCGTGTGCGTGTGCGTGTGCGCGTGTGTGTGTGTGTGTGTGTTTGTGCGTTTATTATGAGTACATTACCGTGGCAAAGCCTTCTAGAGAAGCAGCGAAAACACCACCAATTTCACAATAGTAATTTTTCATACTTCTCTGCATTACAAAAAGCAGCATCCTTTGTGTTCGTAACGAAACCGTGTACCATTGCGTATACCTAGGTGTTAATGATTAATATACTTCAATTGATCACACGAAATATAAATATTGTAATATTTGTAATAAATAAATGCTACTTTTCACTTGTACAGTTACATTGGATGTTTAAGTATATAAACAAGAGAGATGTTTTGAAATTTGCACTATTTTTACGCTATAATCGTTGGATTATTGCATTAGATATTACATTTACATACGTTTTGTAAAAAATATTGGTATTATGATCTGTGATTATTTGGCCGGCAAAGTTCCCCATAAACATATAAATGAAATGAGCGATAATTAACAGAGCGCATGCTAACATTCCGTTTGTATCGTTTGAAACCATCATAAATTGCAGAAGCTGTAACACAGATATTGTTTCACAAAGAAATTTTAATTTTTACCATATGTATATTTTATCATTATTCTTACATACAGGGTGTTATGTAATATCCGTCTTACCTCTTACAATTAGTTATGAATAGAGCGGACTAAACTGAGTCGAAAAGTCCTCTAGCATTTTGCAATTTTTGCAATAATAAGTAAACGAGTTAATAATCATACGTAGCCGTTACCGTGTGTTATAAACAACACCCCGTGCGCCTAGTAACACCGATCGCGGGACAGCCGTATCTCGCTGCGCGTTTGAATTAGAGTAATTAGAGTATTAGACGGTAGGCTGGGCTAAGACAGCGATATTTAATAATTAATAACTCGTTAATTATTGCAAAAGTTGCAAAACGGTACAGGACTTTTCGACTCCGTATAATCTGCTCTATCCGTAAATAAGGGGCGAAGCAGATATTACACAACACCTTGTTTAAGACAGAACAATTGTTCGTGAAACTGATATACTCACTTGAAACATATTAACGGTTAAAGATGAAATACCTACACCAATTAACACAAAGTAAAATTTCATAAAACTGGTCACTAGATATTCAGCAAATTCGAGTGCTCTGCGATGTGTGTCAACGGCGCTGACTATTCTTTCATACATAATGTAATCTTTTTCGGACTTGGATATTGGTGATATATTATCGCTTATATGTTCAAGACGATAACTGCCAAGATGAATTATATTTTTACATATATAATTTATTTATTAGGAAAATATGTTGTATTTATTTGTATATCAATTAATTGCGATTTTTAGAATCTTTCTTATTCATCATATATATGTATTAATATTCGTTACCATACTTGGATTATTATCATTTTCCATATGTATTACTAATTTTGTCAATATAAAATATATGACAAAGGGAATATTTTATGTGACAATTTTTATAAAATCATTTTTTCTATATCAGTATATGTATACAGTGAAAGAGATTTTTCACCTTAAATAAGCTATTAGTAATTCAAATTTTTTTAAAATTTTTACCTTGCTATTTTCAACATTGCGCAGATATGCAATACAAATGCCATAAGCATACTACCAGTAGACACTACTGCGGTACATCCGACATAAATGGCGAATAAACTATGAGTTAAAATGGGATAGAAGTATCGTTCCTGATCGACAAAATACTCGGCTAGGAAGGTGAAGTGATGCTCACGAGATTCATTAAGCGGTGTAATAAAGTCCAGTAAAGCCGGAAGAAATTGAAAGATACCAAAACTGTTAAGAAACAATAGTAGCAGCACTATAAAATATAATAAGACATATATAAATTACGCTCTTGTTATAAGATAATCATGTCTTCAAATTTTGCTTATTATATTAAAACTTTATTCTATTCCAATATATTTATATAATGCGATAGCATAAATTTACTTATTATTCCATTTTCTACAAAAAATTAAAAATTGCAATGTTAATCTCGATTTTAGTGATAAATTCATGCAAAAACAAAAAATAAAAAATAATTAGATTGTTAATCTTTTTACCCGTCGTTATCACCGCGAATTGCTTGGAAAATTCGGCGTATTTTTTTAATATATCGATTTCATCTGCAGCTTTTACTATCATCCATTCATAATAAACTCGCTCGTACGAGATTTTCATCTATACTTTCGAATAATCTATGAATGTGTATAATAACATCGAAAACCACAATGAGGGATACATATTCAATTTAATGATAAATTGACATTCATTATTAAATTGAATATTAAATGTGATATGTACGCATATATTTTTGTGGATTTTTAGAATTGTGTACTTACTTCTTTATGATTCCAAACAAAGGCGATATACGTTAAGAAATATATAAAACAAGGAAATGCTTGCGCGAGAACCTTTAACATAATATTTACACTGAATTCTGATGTGATGAATGTTGCTAACTGTAAATGATATTAATTTAAACGGTAAACAATATGTCTTTTGATAACAGCTATTAATATAATTTGAAATAAAAAATAAAATTAATGCAATACTTATTTAATAATGTTACTATATTTGTCAACATTTAAAAAAATGATGCAATTAAAATAATTAATGCAAATTCTCATTACTCTACGTTGTTAATTATGAAGTGTAATTGTTTAATCTTAAGAAATGTGTATGTATGTATATATGCATACAATAAATATTTTAAATATGTAAAGCAATGTAATAATTGTGAAATCGAATTAGAGCCAATGCAAGCGAACCTGAGCAATTAGAAAAGCCATGAGCACGCAAGGGAATAACGTAATTTGGAAAATTCGGGATCTCCATTTTTGATATGGCCACAATCCAACAATCGTCAAAAACTTCCGATTAATGTTGTAGTATTGATCTACAAACGATGTCATTTCTCTTCGAAAGGTGAACAACATATGAACTGGACTCTTTATCCCCTCCTCCTTCCCCGCCTTAGAGTAATATGCTTAGAATAATAGAATAGAATGTTAAACATCTTTATTACTTTTTCTTTTAAATTTCTTGGAGTCATAGAAAGAAAAAAATTTCTTCTTCAGAACATGAGTGACAGAATATATAATTTAACATTTACACCTATTGTAACTAATGTTGCAATACAAATATCAATTGGATCAATTACCATTATTTTCCCTTTAGAAGAAAATTATCAAATTATTTTCTTCGTACAGATATTGAACATGCTTTTATTGCACGTTCATATATTCTCATTCTTGACGCAAGAGCAGGCGAAATTGCCGCTAGACTTTCAGGACTTATAGTCAGTATGATTTCAATCGTTAAGTGCTATACATCTCTGACTTTTGAAACTTCTAAATAGCATCACTGTAGTTGCTATAATATCTTTATTATCATTATAATTACATTTAGAGATAACTTTATATATAAAGATATTAGTAAAGTAACTTTAGTAAAAGAAGCTTTCACAATAATATCATTTATTAGTATAAAAAAGTAAACAGATGACACAAGGTTTATAATTGTTGCTGAAAAGTATTAAAGAGGTAAGAATTATAGAGATAATTATACATACATATAGTAAAATAAAAAATAACTGCTCCAGCAGAGCTGAATTTTATATTCTTGTATAACTAAATAATATATAAAAAAATGTTTGTTCTACTGCAATTGAATTTTGATTAATTGCGCTAATTAAAGTGACTTACATTTAATTATTTTCACGTTTTCTCAAAATTAAAGAAAAATATAATTTTTATTTTTACTTTTTCTTCTATTCCTAATCTTAAAATTTTCGCGCAATACTCTACCTGCTCGGTTTACAACACTTATAGTATTTGAACACAAAATTCTGTAGGAGCGCTGATAAAAAATTATAGTATTTTTTTATTTCAATATCATAATATGAGTTTTGTGTTTTATTTCTTTTAGTGATTTCAAAATACTTATTTCTCCATTTGTTTATCTCTCAATTGTGTAGAATACATTACCATGAAATAGGATAAAGATGTACTTAGAATCTAAAAATATACATTCTTTATTTATGTTTATATACACAGATGAGAGAGAATTAACTTTACATTGACATCAGTTTATTACCGACGTTCATTACCGTGGCAAAACCTTCTAATGAACCGACGTAAATTCCACCAAGGATAATGGTAAAATTTTTTGTGCCATATTGTAGTAAGAACAATATTAATTTCTGAACTCGGAGCGGTGCTACGTACCACATTGAGTTATATCTATAAATTTTTATAGAACTACTATTAAG